GACTTTAAACAAGGGACTTGATAATATTAAGAAGGTTGACTTTATCTTGAAAGCATCAGTGGGGAGTCCTGAGTTTAAGCAAGTCTTTAGGACTGGGGGCTCTGGAGTCATACTGCCTGGCTCGGAAGAAGGCTCTACCTACTGGTTGAGGACTTCCGCCATGTAAATTAAGTACTCTGCAGTTCTATTTCTTCATCCGTAAAATCAGAATTACAGTAGTCCCTTAGCTCATAGGGGTTTTATGAGGATTAAATGGGCTAATTCAGGTAAAGTACTTAGAAGACTGCCTAGCACATGGTAAGGAACCAGTGACAGTAGGGATATCAGTAGCAGTATTTGTCTTTTAGAGAGATCCTTCCATTGTCTTTTAGATCATTCTAGTTACACCCTGGAGAATAAATTAAATAGGGACAAAAATAAACGTGAAGAGTTAGGAGGATGTGAATTAAGCAAAGGACTCTAGAAACAGAGAGACACAGATAGATTTACAAGACATAAAAGAGGCACAAACAATAGGATTTGACGACAGATTGGTTACAGCAGTTGAGTGGGGGAAAGATAAGTCAAAAGAAATATATAAAGACCCTGGCTTGGGAAAGAAGCTTAAGCGGGAATGTTCTTGGAAATAAGACACAAGAACAACTATTCCGTGTCAGAGACTGCAGCAGGCACAGTAATACAAACATGAGTATGGAACACAAAAAGAGAAATGCCTCATTATACCACAGCAGATAAAACAATTCAATTGCATTATGGAGGAAGTACATCAGAAAAATGGGAAAAGGGCATCTGAGGCATATGAAATGGCCCAGAAGCATGAAAGGCCTGTAGTCAGTGTGAAAATAGGAAAAGAACTGAGAGACTGAAGGGTTAGAAGTGCGACTTGGAGGCACCTCTTCATAATCTTATTATTCCTACCTAAAAACTGAGCAAATAGTCTTCACAATGTCTGATGTCTTCTTGGCCATTACTAAAAGATTGGGAGCCATCCTGAAAAAAGGAAACTCTAAACACAGCATAAGATTTTCATCAAAAATAGCTAACTAAAAGCTGCAACAAAGTTTTGTCAATTAAACAGCATAAATCCACTGTAGTCATCAACTAACGGTACAGAAACAAATTAAGAAAGTCAGAAAGCAAACATTAGAACAGAATTTTCACGTTAGTACCTCTTATGCTATTAAATTATAAATCTTCCCGAAAGTCTATAAAGCAGTATAATTCTCAAACTTGTTATTCAACTATAAAAACTATACTCCACATAAAGCAGTTTTATCTAGTCCTCATCATTAATAAACATGCATGGCCTTGCACTATCCTAATAAAACGAGTGGTTCACATTTATGGAGTGTTTTCTATGTGCCAGGCCTATGCTGAGTGCTCTACAGACTTTAGATCATTTCATTCTTATCATAATTTTGTCAGATCGGTAAAATCAGCCCCATCTTGCAAAGGAGGAATCAAGAGAGATTAAGTCCCTTGCCCAAAGCAACACTTCACACAATCTGTAAATACAGAGCTAAGATTCACACACAAATCTGTTTGATTCCAGCATTATTTTTGACCCCTCTCTAAAAATGTATTTCTCTCACCAACACTGACTCCTCTCACTCAAAAAACACAAACTATGACCCTAAGAGGTCAACAGTACTTGCAAGCAGCAAGGCTACAGAAAAGTGAACCATGAAAATGACAAGCAGAGAGTAGGAGAAAAAAATTAAGTATTCTGAAAAATGGCCTCAAGCCATGAAGTATAAATGTGAACAACAGGGAAATACGGGCAATGGAGACATTAGCTTGATAGCAGCAAAAAGAAACAAAAGTACTCATTTCTTACAGAAGCAGTGAACCTCTCACAAATGTAAGAGGAGGTATGGCAAATAGTAGTACATGGATGGAAGATTTGTTGTGCATTAATCTTCTCAGCCACAGCCCTCAGTGTATTTGCAAAACCTAAGTGTGGCATCAACTAAATTTGTTTGGTAATCCTCAAACTCATTCACACCTCTGTATTTCCTGAGGTTGCAAACATTCTCCACTCTTCTCAAATCTCCAAAGTCCCTCCCATCACTTGCACAGAAAAGAATTCAACGTTTCTTGAAGTGACAAAAATCAAACTCATCCTCTCTTCATTACTCTTCTCCATCCTATCCACCCCAAAACACCTTTGCATGCATGCAATCTTTCCCGCCCCCCACCCCGCCCTTACAATCATCTTCTTTTTCATTCCTAATGTAATCAACTCTTTCAGATCATCTTACTCCTCGGCTGAACTACTATAATAGCCAACTAATATCCTTGCCTCCAGTTTCTCCCACAACCAATTCATACTGAAATCTCTTCCAGATTAACCTTCCTAACATATTTTGTTAAATCATACACTCCACAAGTTCATTTTAAGGTCTAATTCTTTAGCAAGGCCTTTAATTTTTGCCAAAACCCAGCCCAATATACATTTATACTTTCATCTCCTACTCCCCTATACAAAATTATCCACTGTGCCAAAAATATATATATAATTACAGCTCCTGAAATGTAATTTGGGTTGTCGCATTGGTTCTTCTATTGTCAAAAGAAGGAAAACACACTCAAAGAATATATAATAAGCCAATGCGTGTGACAGACCAACAACTCCATGTAGCAGAACCAAAGGGGTAATGAATTGATATTATTTCTCTGCATTAAATAACACACTGCTTTCAAATTATAAACATACTTAGAAAAAAAGCCATGATAAACTTTTTTAAAAAGAGCTAAAATAAATGAGTAGGGTTTGGGTCAGCATTCCAAGCAGAAAGAACAATAGAGCTTAATTGTTATAGTACATGCTTTTGAGTCAGACAAACTTGCCCTCAAATCTTAGCTACGCCTTTTATAAGCAGTGTGATCTCAGGCAAGTTTCTTACTTAAGCCTCACTTAAGTTTCAAAGATGATACCATCACCTAGCAGTTGCTGGAAGGATTTGCAGATAAAATGAATTACGCACAGAAAGCACCTAGTATAGTGTCCAGTACATGGTAAGAGCTAAATAAAGAGCTTCTTAAGAATTATTACTGTAGCAGTCACCCAGTGAAAAGGCTGGTTAGGAAGAAGCAGACAGTATAGGAAAGTAGTAAAAGGTAAGAAGGATGAGAAACATACACAGAGTACTTGTGTCATCTGTAGTATTCAAAACATTCACCAATAAGCATATAGAAAAACCATTCTTCAAGGCTCTAGGGTAGATTCCCATATAAAGTTTGGTTTCTTTAGATAGAAAGTGAAATAGACAAAATGTTATCTAAAGCTCCTTTCAGCTCTAACCTTCAAAAAGTCTGTAACAACTGCTGTGAACTGGAATCCTGGCTGTGGGTTATGAATGTTCATCCCCACCATTACATGGTTAATTGCTTTTGTATTTTACTAAGTATGTGAGGGCTTATTAATGTTCCATTGACCTCATGAATTTGAGAAACAAAACAACAATTCAGCCCCAACTAAAAAATTCCAATCACCAGTTTATCAGTCACAAAGAGGAACAGCAATAGCTAGTCTCACTAAAAATTTTACTGTAGCTGAACTTGACAAGCACACTATCAGCCTTATGTGAACTCAAAGTTAGGAACCTTCAGGTCCCCTACGAATTCTCAGGCAGAGTTTAAGAGGTAAAAATTACAAAAACAAAAAAGCAATCCTGGACAGGAGGTTTGTTCTTCCGTCAGCGGACAAGAGAGAATTGAGAAGATCAAGAGAAGAGTATTTCAGAATGGTAAAATGAGTCAGTAAGGCTCTAACCTAACTATACATTACTTGGGAACAAACCCAACTAAGCTTCGTATTCCCAAATCATGTCTTCACTGTAGGGACTTCTTTTACGCACTTAAGACATAAATCTATTCTTTCTCTAAAGAGCTAAAAACAAATTCAAAGTGCATACTTTCTTTTTACGTGAAACAACAGTCAAGGATTGCACTAGCTCTAAATATTTAACATGCCCACTTAACTGACTTTTTCAGTGTAATTTCCTAGTCTTATATATTGATTTTCACAAGAAGAAAATTATTCTTCCACATATATAGAAATCATATATCTGTATACTTATTTCAGAATGAATTGCTTTAAATGAATACTTTTATCAGCTTTCATTTTTGTAAATTATGAGAATCATATCTGTGCACTTAAATTATGGTTAAACTTATAGTATTATAATTTTATGATTTTAACAGTGACACGGCTATTTTATCCCATTTCTTTGCAGACAAAAAAAAGGAACCTGTTCATTCAATTTTCAGAAAAAGTAGTTATTTCTATCAAAATTTAAATTTGTATTGTTAGCCATATATTACAAAATTCACTTCAAAATGATAAATTTGTAATATAAATTTTTAAAGATTTTTCTATTTAAATACATCATATCAAAATAATTCATCATTTTGTTCATACTAAATACTTAAGGCACTACAGAAGACTACAATATAAAATACAAATGGAATAAATTCATCCTGAAGTCTCCCATTTTCTTTTAAGAAAATAAAGCTATAGTTAGAATTACTTAAAAATAAGAAAATATTGTCAATTCAACTTACATATGTAAATGATTCAGATAGCACTTTAACAAGGAGAAAATTGATCACTTATTTACAGCAGTTACTACTGACTTCTAAGTAGACAGAAATAATCAGAGGGTATCAACGTTTAGTATTGCCAAGTTTTTTTGATGAGGAAATTTTTAAATGTTTCCAAATATATATTCCATAGAATTGAGTGTAAAAATATGCTGAAACTGTAAACATTCAGTTCCCCTTAGTTTCAATATAAGAGCTTCTTCATCACCCAACCACTTGGTTACTTTAAAAGATTCTTCCCATATATATTCTGCACACACGGCTTTTTTTCCTCACAGTTGATCAAGAGAAAATAATTATAGCAATTCATGTGTAGTAGCAGTAGCAGCAGTAACAGTAGGAATAATCATAATACTCCAATTTTAAATGTTTTTTAAAAATTATGTGGTTCCAACCTGATCTCCAAAGTCCTCTGGGAATTTCCACAATACCACTGGATCTGTAAATAATTGACACATGGCATTAAACAGAGGCAAACGAACACATTTAAAGCAACGGTCTTGTTAAAATACTCTTAAAATTGTCAGAGCTACGTTTTTCATAATTATTAAATTTTTCTTTAAACATTTATAGTTGATGAGGTCAAAATTAAATATTTTGAACTTTTAAGGGTTTTAATGACCTTCGGAACAGGAACAAATGAAATAACAGATTATTAAAAATCATTATTTCTTTTAGCAGCTCACTTTTTTATTTATATACTTGAGATTTTAAGATTTTGAAATATAAATTTTCAGATTCAACTATACTTTACATATTTATTTTAATTGAAAAGAAAAATATAAATGTGGTAAATAGGTACTCAAATATATTATAGCCCTTAGAGACTAGACCAAAATACATCACCTTAAATTTCCACTTAAAATTCTAAATAAAAATTTATGAAAATCGTAATAATGTTTGCTTTATATCAAAGTTCAGTTTTTTCCAACTTTTTTTTTATTGAAGTATAGTTGACATATAATATTATATTAGTTTCAGGTGTACATCAAAGTTCAGTTTTGAAATCCCATGTCTGCAACTCTGTAAAGCACTTTTAAAAATAATGGATAAGTTGGTAATTACAATGGAGCAAGCTTAGTTAAAATACAATTGATATTTGCAGGGCACTTCAGAGAAATTTTTCTAATATGTTATATCTAGTTACTTATATATACAAATCAATGTTTTATAAATATTCACACTGGTTTTTCATTTTCATTATTTCTCACATCTCTCTTCTACTTAATATAATAAAAAGAAGTCCTTTTAATTATCATATCACTAATAAATATTTTGGTCACATACTTATTTTTTAATTCTGTCAAAAACAAACTTCTGAAAACTGTAAACATGCTTTAAAAAGGTAATGTACAATAGATAATATTACTTCTGAAAAAGCCTTTGAAAGCCCAAGATAATATAAGTAACAAGTATCACCAATATGGGAGGATTTAGATTCCACTCCAAGTAAAAAAGATTTGGTAGATCAAAGATATCACTTTATGTACCCAGTCACTAAAAAATTATACCTCTATTCCATTATTTCCACTATTGCATATAGCTTTTTTTAAAAATATAGTCTAAGGATGTATAATTTCAAGTTTTTAATGCAAAAACTCAATAGTTACTTAGCAACATTTTTAGCATGAGCTGGCTCCTCTCGTTGTGTTACTTAAGTTCAAAAGAATTTTTTTCAAATATTTTAACTTAGAAAAGAAAGCATGCTTTCTACAATTAACCTTTTTATTTATTAAGGAATAAAAAGTTTCTACATAAATGAATCTAAATAAGAAATTATTTAAAACATCTTATATAATAATAATGCATTATAAATTTATGACAGTAATATTAAATGATTTTTCCCTCACGTAAAACAATATGTACACATTTCTAAAGTGAATGTGACATGTATTACAAATACAGATCATCTACAAATACTCAGCCATTAATGTCCTGTGGAAGATTATGTTGGAAAAATATATATATGTGTGTGTGTGTGTCTTTATGTGGCACTTTTACCAAAATGGTAGTTATTAAGTTTTGAATCTCATAAAACAAAAGTGTGTGATGGAATTTTCAAGAAATATTAATCAAAGGTATTATCTTGATAAATTAATACAATAACTAATGGCCATATAAACAAATCATCATGCAGAAACATAGAATAGTCCTTTCTTATAACTAATGGAGTTAAAGAGTTTCAATGTGAACATTTAAAATATCCCTTTTCAACAACCTCAATTTTATAGTTACTGTGTGTGTGACACAGTAAGAAAATGTGTGTGACAAATTTCTTCCAACTGCGTCTTAAAAGCAGGACATTTACGTTGTTGTCTAGCCCTCACAGTCTGCCCCCATTGTTTGCAGCATTTACCTAAGTACGTTGCTACCTCACTTCTCTCACCCCCGACTACAGTGTTTTTTTCTGTATCATCCGTTTTCTTCCACAGAGTACGCACAAGTGAATACAGGAAAACAGCATCTATTGGTTTAATCATTTACTGGAAAACGTCCTATTTCTTTTCTTTTAATTAAATAAATTTTACACTTCAGCACTCAGAACTTTATTATAATCATGTGCATCCATATTTTGAAATAGATCAACTTAGCTACTGCCTATGTTGTCAGGTCAACTTTCCACAAGTACTGCAAAGGAAGAAACAAAAGGGCTCCGAAAAAAATAATAATAATCGGATTCTACAAATTTATGCACCAAGACTGAATTTTCTGTTCCCTGAGGATTACTTTCCAGATACCAGATCTGACCTAGCAATGTTAGGGTCCATTTTATGCTGATTTTAGGGATGAAACGATGGGAACTGCTGGCAGGAGTCATCGCTGCCAGAGATGACTGATACACACTGTGTTTCTCTTCTTCCCAATGTCTACTATTAATTCAAAGGACACTCCATACCTTAATTTAAAAAGAAACTTTGCCACCAACAATCTAGAAACCAAATAAATATAAAAGGGAGAATACATAACTTGACTTTTACATAAATACAGTTCATCTTTTATTTTAATGAGATAATGTTACAGTGTAGCAAGAAAAATATACAAAGTTTTATTAAATCAGTAAATTCGGAAGGTGAATATTTAAAGTATTTTTGTATCGCCATCACAAGTATTCCAAATTTACAATTAAGGCTCTTTTAAAATGTAAAGTGAGATAAATTCAGTAATATTTTATTTTCCTTTGTAATAGATCTTTCACGTTTTCTGGCCTTTAATTGAAAACAAAAATTAAAATAACTTAAAATACTAGTGTGATTCAACTACACTATAAAAAAAATGCAGGGAAAACTTTCCAATTTGCATAAATGAATAATATTTACTTAATTCTGTGGAATTCACAGATAAATATCTTCAAAATTATGCATTTGTAAAACCACGGTTCAGAGACTATATGCTTTTGAAAAGGTAGAATATATATTAGTAAGTATTTTTCTTGATTATAGCTTTCAGTGCTTATTTACCTACACTGTAGAATCAAAATTTTATAAATAAGGAAATTGATGCCAAAACAATGAGGAGTTTGTCTTAGTCATACAGCTAGTTAATGTCAGAGACTAGAACTTTCTCAGTTAAGATCTAAAAAGCAGCTATTTTAAATAACTTCCATAATCAATACATTTCTCTGTCCTATTTAACTTAAGTTCAATTTATTTCATTCAAAAACCTGTGCAGTGCTAGAGAAACAGGAGAAGTCCCTGCCCTCCAAAGCCCTACAGCATACATGGAGAAAAATGTCAAAGAGCTATCTAGTTTTTGTGCAAAGTATTGTTTTAAACCGGTATCCTGTAGGAACACTTTAACTCAACTTAAAAATTCACTGGCTTGATAATTTCAAATACGGTTACTAATGAAGGAATGATGATGTCCGTTGAATGTAAACGAGCAAGAATCAGTACACAAAATGTGTAATTTTTATTCTTTTACCTATGGAGATATAATAGTGAACTAAACAAAATAGGATCTCTACAACCTGTAGAAAAGAAGGACCTCTAAACACATAATGCAATAAAATTTAATGAGTGTCTTACTGAAAGGCCAGGATGCCACAGGACAAGATAAGGAAATCTAATCTAATTTAGAGTCATAGAAGCACTTCAGAGGGAAAATACATGTAAACTAACACTTAAGTTAGACAAGCAAAGGATGATTTGGGCTATAAAGTGGGCAGGGAAGAATATTCCAGACTGGAGAAACAATATGCATGAAGTTTTGGAGGCTAAAAAAAAAGCAGAATACATTTTAGAAACTGAAAAAGAAAAATGTAACATATCTAAAATGTAGAGTAGGAGAGACAGAATGTCAAGGGATGAAGCTGGAGAGTCCGGTGCCAGACTACAGAGTTTAAAATGTATCCTAGGTATCACCGGAAGCCACTAAAGCAGATGGTGACATAAACCAAATGAGAAAGAACAACTAGAAATGTACAAAGAATACAGCTAAAGTGTATATATTGTTATGAAAGTCACAGGAAGAGAGCATATCTAAAAAATTCTCAAACAAATGTGGCAAAACATTAAGCAAGGTGATGATTAAAGAATGACAACTATATTTAAAGTATAAAGCCACAGCAAAATGAGTGTCAGTGGAAGGATAGGAAGCAGAAAACACATTTAAGAAGAATATGGAGTATGACGAAAGAGGGGCAGTGTATATGGAGGCAACTTATTTAATAAAGACTGCATAAGGAAGAAGAAAGTAAAGGCAGGAGGCGTGAGAAATGAAGCTAGATAGATGTTTGTTCGTTTTTTTCTTTGAGACTGGTGCAGACTTGAACATGTTTAAATGCGGATGGGAATTAATGAGCCAGCAGAGAGCCAGAAAAGGAGGGATACAATACCCCTGAAAAGGCAGGAAGAGGGGGATCCTGATGAAGAGAGTGAGATGAGCATTGGACAGAAGCTGGAGCATAACTTCCTCTGTTACAGGAAAAAGAAAAGAGCAGAGAAAACACAAATCCAAGTAGACTTTAGAATTTGTGATGCAAAGATAAGAGTTTTGCGTAAAAACTGCTAATTTTCTGTGTAGCAAGAGCAAAGCTCTCTGCTAAGAGAGAAGTTGTTGGAGTGAAATAACTGTTTCAGGCACTGTTGAGTACTTAATTTGGCAGGTGTCCAACCTGGTGTTTAATGGCAACAATGTGGTATTTCCCCATCATCATCCAACAGTCTAGGTGCGAGAGATAATTGGTAGTTTCAGTCAGGGTTGAGGGTTCTGGCAGCCAAGTGCGGATGGAAAGAGAATTTAAAGAGAAGAGTGGTTATGGATACGTGTTGCTAATCTAAAGCTAATAAAAAGGGAAGTCATTTTTTCCTGTGAAACCCATTACTATTAAATATTATATCAAATCATAGATATGCATTTTAAAATGGTATATTTTCAGTAGAAAATCTACTACACATATCTGAAGACTGTAGGAATGAGAAATATGGTAAAATAAATAAA